CTCAAGTGCCCCAAGAGGTATAAAACTCCAAGAAGTCACAAGGACTTTAGAATGAGACATGTGAAAATGAAATGTCAGTCCACTAAGAATAGGCCTGAAAACTTTAAAAAGAGGTACAGAATGCATATCATAAAACTTTTCTACTGCAACGCTTCTTGTTGGAAATAAACACTTCATGGAAAGGGTCATCTGCCAGACCAAGGGTTTTCCTTTTCTTCTCTTTCCGTTTGTAATTACTATTAAATCAGAAAATACAGAGTTTGTAAAGAAGCAGGTGCTACCTAAGTGATCATCTGCTTTGTATTTTATGATATTTTTCATTTGTTTTTCCTTGAATGCCCTAATTTTTACAGAACTTCATCTGGACAACATGGTTTTTCCAACACTGGCATTTTACAGGCACTTGACATAGGTAAAAGCGGGTAAGAAATAGTTATTTTTGTTTTTAATCCGAGCTTTGACTACATTTTAAGAACCACAGAGAGGAAAGAACACAGGGAGGCTCTCTCACTTACAAGTTATGGCATCTAGGGCAAAGCCAGAGATAGAACTCATTAGGTATGTTTGATGTACCAAGCATCACTATGTGTTAATGTCATTTCCCCATCACCCATTACATTAGTGGAGTCAGTAATTTGTCAAATGTCCCACAGCTGGAAAGTTGAAAGAGCCAGATTTTGAACCCAATTCTGTATGATTTTAAAGCTCGCCTATTTTTTTCAACTATACCAAGCCACCTTTCAGGCAAGTCAGTTCATCTCCCCTGACCTCCATCTCAATTTCCCTATCAGCAAAATAAAAGGGTTGAGTTGGAAGATCTTTAAGCTCTCTTCGAACTATAAGAAGAAATTATATACCAGAAACTCTATAAAGTTTATAATCCCTGTAAAATATGGTGAAACCATTTTTATGAGAGATAAATATTAATACCATGTATTCTAAAAACAAATGATGTGAACACTGGAACAATTATGTAAGTCAGGAATGTAAAGCTTAAAATATTTGCTTTTGGTATTTTCAACTGATGTACAATGTATTGTAGAATAGTTTCCCACGTTTTAAATTTGTGGACCTCTTTCATTGTCATAAATTTGTGAATCACAACAGCAAAATTTAAAATATTTCATATTTTAATAACATGATAAAAAGACTGAGATTTAAAAATTTTGGTCCATTTATTATAAAAGTTTACATGTAAGTTCATCCTAATAATGTGTGACAATATTAACTCATTTAGACATTCAATTCATTTAGCTATTTTTAATTTAATAAGCAGCATTAAGTGCTTTAATTTACTTTAATGTAGCTTATGCTATTTAACTTACTTTGAATTAATTTTTAAGAAAATAATTATTAATAGATTTTAAAATTATGTATTTTACTAGGTTCAGGAACAATATAAAACTATAGATCAAAACTAACCACATTATAGCATCAGAAATCGTGAAAAAAATAACACCTGTTTTTATGAGCTGATGTTTGAAAGTTTCTCTTAAATCAATTAATGTAAGTCCTGTTTTGTTTACACATGAGGAAATAAGAGAATATATTTAAGGCTGCTATTTCTTAACACTTTTCTACACATAATATTTTACAGGAATGGACAGTCTTTCTTTCCAATAAATTAAAAACAAAGGAGAAATAACTGTCACTATATTTCCCTCTGTTCAACATCTTCAGGTTCCAGAGACATACTAGGGGTGCTATATAAGAATTTTACGCAGACAAATGCAACTTGTAGATCCTGGTGAAGACAGCTTGGGGTTAAACTTGCAGGATTTTTTTTTTTTTAATTTCAATAAAAGTGTCCCTCTATTTTCTATATTGAATCAACAGTCGGGGGTATACATTTAATAATTAACTTGAGTTTCCCAACCTACCTATTGTGTGAATTAAGTAAGATTGCCTTCCACCCTCCTATATCTTGAAACATCCCAATCTCCACAGCTGTGGACTCAGACTCACCCTCCCCACACCCGGTCCCTTCCACCTCAGTGGAAGGACCGCATCCATTTTGTTAACTACAAGCCCAGGAGGCACTTCCATACTTTTCCTCTCCCCTTGATCCTACATCTAATACCTTTCCAAAAGCCCTATTTTTTTTTTCCTTCCCAAATCTCTCTTAACTATGTTCAGTCTACCTCCCTACAGTTACCACCAATGGATTCATTATTCTAGGTTTTGTTCATGACCTTGAAGCCACCACTTTCCCTCAACTACAGAATCATTGCGCATGAAGTTAATTCTGCCTGGAAACCCCCTTTGCCTCAGTAGACTAAGTCACCGTTCAGATCACAGACTACCCTGACGATCCCCTTTTCTAAGGAACGCCTGGACTGACCTCCCAAACTGAGCCAAGTCATTCCTTTATATGTTATCACTGTGCTAGGACGTTTCTCTCAGCAGGTATTGCAGGGTGCTCATTCACTCCTTCCTTTACCACGTAATTACCTACCATGTGAAAGATACAGTGACGAATAATTAAGCAAAGCATCTGTCTCAGGAAGTTCACATTCTAGGGTGGAGAAAGAAGCCATTACCTAGGAGGACGGGTAGAAGGTATTTGCCCTATGGAAGGAAATATAGTGGAGAAATACTGTTTCCCACCTATGTGTGTGATCCTTTGATGCCTGTGGTCTCCCACAGGAGACCCTAAAGACCACAGCCCCTGGGCCACGCTTCACTTTTGTACTGTTCACATGAGTTTTTCCTTTTTTTACCCACCACAAGCACAAATTATGTTCCCAAAAGAGCAAAATGGCACTTTAAGCAAAAGGTACTTTGTTTATATTGTTATAGCTAAAATTTTTCATGGATCCCCTCCAAATAAAGGAAGAATCCAGAGCATTAATCATAAAAAGAACACTGCGCCAGATCTTGAATGTGAGGAGAAAAATAGGACCACTCTTTAAGTGTGCAAGAATAAATAACTGTCTAAAGATGACCTTTTTTTTTTTTCCTGCTCTTTTGTATGCCTGAAGTTTCACAATGACACATACAGGATACGTGGAGACATGCAGGGAGGAACAGAGGCTGTTTTAACATTTAGAATATTCTCTTTGGGTTTTTAAATGTCATAATGGCAAAGACAAACATTCTCAAATCCTAAACCAAATTAATTCTTAAAAATTTCCTCATCAAAACCAGGAAACACTTACTTCTAAGTGCATAATGTTGGATTTTGTTATAACAAAGACTTAAGGGGTGCAGGATGACTTTTTCAGACAAGTGCAAGATGAACTTTCGAAACTCTAAGGTGACAAATTCTAACTAGGCAAAAAGTCTGGCTCTTTCCTCTGAGAAACAGCAATCTCCCGCCTAGAGTCATTTAATTAAGTGAAAGCACTTTTTTATGCCAGTGGATTTTCAAGAAGCTAAGAAGCAGTGAAATGAGAGCTCTACTGTTTACATTTAGACACACGTAGGCAATTCAGGGTCTCTTAATCTGGGAATCTTGAGCCTTTCCACCAAGATGAAAATTTCTGCATTAAGCAAATATAAACAGGAAATCTCCTAGCATCATTAAGTGCTCACAGTTCCTTAAAGTCACGGCTCAGTTAATCATTTGCTTTTAGAATGTTTTCCTCCAAGAACAGGGCAATGTTTAATAATATTGTTTTAATTATCCAAAATATTCTCCCCTTTGCCTTTACACATTTTTCCCCTATCACAGGCACCGAAATTAAATGAAAGAAAGAAGCATTATGCGAATGGTTTACTTTCATATTTAACTTATAATAAAAAAACTCAGTAACAAGAAAGGTGTGTTGGCAGTCTGGTCATTTGCATGCAAGTCACCTCCTTTTACAATGAGCAACTATATGATGACCAGGCTCCAAGCCATGGTGCTTTTATCCAGTAATCCATACAACCAAACACCAACCAGGAAAACAAATGAATTTGGACACTTCCTCAGAGTTTGTTGAATTTCTTCAGTTGGTTATTAAACACAGTCAGTACTCCAAGAACTGGCACACCTCTGGGTACATGCTCATTTTTTAAGAAACCCTACTGAGCACACTACCCTTTCCTCTCCACAGGCACTGCTCACCCTGAAAAGCCTGATAGTAATTCTGCAAAGAATCAGAGATGGCCTAAGGCCATCACAAAAGAATCACGGGTTGCAACACAAAGCGTTCTCATACTAGAGAAATGTGTTTGCATTTGTGGTTTTTCTGATGCCTTCAAATGAATGATCCTACGTCACAACTACATCTGTTTAGATGCCTTTTTCCCCCTTGGGTAAATGAACAAAGGGACATGTTCTTAGAGCTTGCCTCACAGAAATTAACAGCCTCCTTTCATCCTTGCCTTATGTAGCTTTCTTGGGGTTGCTCTATTTGCTTACACTTCCTTTCATAAGCTAATATGAATCTAAAAATTATCACTAATTCAGTGCCTTAAGGAGAGTAGGTAATTGGAAAGAAGACTTAATCTACACCAGGGCCCTGAGGACAGTCACTTAAAAAAAAAAAAAAAAAAAACGCTAAAGGAGGAGAGAAATTAGAAACATATGCTAGGGTAGACAGCTCATGGAAGTGATGTCCTCCTAATCAAGTATTCATGTTATTTACCATGTACATGAACTTTTGGAATGTCATTGATTGAAGTACTTAGCGGCGTAAATTCAATTTATCCTGTTGGACTTGCCCAGAAAATTCAATATTCAAGACATAAATTTCTTCAGTTTCAGTTTTTAATCATATAATTTCTGCATCAATCCAAATATCAGAGCGTCCAATCTCACGCCATTAGGCTTATACAAATGAATGGTAAGGCACAGAAACTGGCTGAAAGAGAATTCCCATCAAATGTCAACCAGGACACAGAGAGAAACAAGTCTCCATTTGTTAACAAGCTGTGTACAGTCTGACAACCTAAAGTTGACCTAGGGTCTTCCACAAGCCTAATCATGATAGCACAGTATTAAAATCTAAAGAAAACAGTAAAAATTATGTGTACACATTTTTAGAAAAGAAATGAAAACAAAAGGTACTTACACTTTTGCTCCGAGAAAGCAAATCACAGGTATTTCTTTTCATGGTGGTGTTTTAAGTAATTCAAACGGACAATAGTTGTTTCCAATGTCACTTCTCTCACTGCAACAATTATCCACTCAAAAGCCAACTGGCATTCTGAAGAGAAAGGCAAGGAAATGTTTAATCAAGTATATGATTAACACGTGCATTTCAAAATTCTGTCTTAGACTAGGACAGTAATTCTTAAATTATTCAGCAGAACAAGCTAAAATGGTGCTATGTTTAAAGCAATAAAAGTACACACAAGCAGCATTTCCAAAACAGCTTTTGTTAAGTGTAAGTTAGAGATTTCAAGCACCATCTGTTTTCCATTAAATATTCAAGTCTACTTTTCTAGTGGCTTAAAAAATAGGTATGGTAGCCACAACTTACACTTACATGTATGAAATGAAGATTCATGCTGAGCTGTGTACATGTGGATTCTGGCTGGTACAGCTGGGGACCCCTCAGTTTTCCACTAAGCATTCACTAACTAAGGTAGCCTTGTCCACCACCAGAGGGATCTGACTACATCTGAAAGCACTCTGACCATAGCATGGTGGCCTCCTGTTTCATCATTAGCAATAATCCACAATACAGTGGTTCTTCAGTAAATTTAATGAGTTCTCTACACTTTGGGTTCAAAGATGTTGTAAGAAATGGTTGGGAGAAACAGTTTACCAAGTTTAGCAACATCTATGATTTCTAAGAATATCCCAGAGTAGCTGTCACTTGAATGACATGATAGCCTTATTACCTTACCTTCACTTCCCACTAGACATTAAGAAGGAGATTCTGTTTTTTGTTTTGAAGAAAGAGCAAATACAATAGCTATAGAAGTTGTGTTCATTCTGTTATTCAGCTGAATCTGGCCATGATTTAAATATTCACATGGAATATCTGCATGTGGGCTGAAATGCCTTTTGGGAAAAAAGTCATTCTAAGAGAACAGGGATAAGGAAAACAGGCTTGACCAAAACACAAAACCGCTGACATTGTAGATGTAGGCTGAAATGGTGGGAACAGACCAAATCTAACAAGAGCATGTAGTCTATCATTTGGATTTATTCTAAGTTTCTCAAAAGACTTGTGCCTGAGGTTTAGGGAGAAGAATAACAGTGAGCAAGGTCTGAAGGAGTCTGCTTTACTGAAATGATGGAAAAATATCAAAGTGAAGGATAGTGTGAATTATACATTCAAAAATATATACTTTCAAACAAAGTAACTACATGTACTTTAAGAACACACAAAACACATGGAGGGAGGGCTCCAGGGAACACAGCCTCCATCCGGGTTCCTGGAGCAGGCCAGTCCTCAGCAGCAGGGGAAGCCACCAGTCCCCCACACCAGTGCACAGGTACCTTCTTCACCAAGGTCTCCAGAATTGTGCAGTGGCTTACTCTCAAGGTTCAAAGACTTGTTTTGAACACATGTGAATCATGTGTTAGACTTATGAAACTAGAAGGCAGATACTTTTAGGGAGGCCAGAGATCCCACAGCAAGGTGGAGTTAGAACTGGAGAAATCTAGTTTATCACTGCTAAGAATATCCCAAGTCACAACTTGGGAAACACAAAGGGCACTGAGACACAAAGCCTTCTTCCAGGGTTCATATAAATGTTTGCCTGAGGTTAAAAAAAAAGTACAATCAATTGTGAATTTCTAGGATAAATATGGTTTCTTTGAGAGTGTGTGGATTATTTTTCAGGGAGTGGGGATTGGAGGGAAGAGGTAATCCACAAATGCAAAGTTCTCAGTATACCTCCAGCACTTTAGTCACCTTTCCCAGTGGGTTTTTATACCATTCATTTTATAAGTTCTCAGAAAATGTGAAATTATATTACCCACCTTGAATCAATGTAAGAAGTGGACAGAAATAATATAAACTGAGAACTAAATATTCCATATATAGGGAGAAAATAAAATCCAACTAAATGCTATGGGAAGCTTGTACACTCTCTGAGAAAAATACATTCAAAATATTTAATTACTCACTCAGTAATTAATGAGTACTCTTAGGGGCAACCAGGGAATAGTTAGTTGCCCCTAGTGAGCTAGTAACTCAATAGTTTTAAATTAACAAATCAGCCAAATCAGACAAATCATGGAATTGACCTGGTAAGGTTTGCTGAAATCATCAAGTTTTTAAGAAATTTGCCTTGACATCATTTAAAGACTTCCCATAGGAACTTGGAACCTGTGGATTTTTGAGTAGGCAAATGGGTATAACTGAAAATTGACTGTTGATGGGCAGGCCCTTCTCAGCCTATATACCTGGGAGGCAGCATGGTCTGGCTAAAACAGTATGGATCTTGAAACAAAGAGGCATAGGATTTGAAACCAAAGAGGTTAAGATTTCAGATCTCCAAGAGCATTCTGTGTAGCTTTCAGTGAGTTACTAAACTTTCTGACCTTTTTTGAGATCTGCAAAAAGGAGGTAATAATAACTCATGGGTGTTTTGAGTTAAATGATCTGATGTGTATAAAACGATGTCTAGAAGAATGCTTGGCTCACATTACCACCACCACCATCATCATCAGCCTTCATTGCTGCCTTTTTCTTCTCTTAGTATCAAATGACAAGTACCAAAAACCCATTCTTATTTTTCCACTTAAAAGCGTCCAACTCCCTCAGATAAGACAGAACGAGGAAAATATACTTTCAACTAAGTGGTAATGAATAATGTATCCATTAAGGTCCCAGGAATAAATAGCACACTCATATTAGGATCATTTACGGAGGGGTTAGTAAAGAGATTATTAAAGAATATGACAGTAGAGAGGAGCAACATGGCAGAGGAGTAGGAGACCTAAATTTCTTCTGGTCCCAGGAGTTCAGCTAGTTATCAAACCATTCTGACACCTACAAACTCAACAGGAGATCAAAGAAAAGAAGAGCAGCAACTCTCTGAACAGAAAAGCAACCACTTTCTGGAAGGTTGTACGTGCAGAGAAGTGAACCCGAGGCAATATTCAGGAGGACAGACGGCAGGGGAGGAGGCCTCCGTCGGCCGCTTCTGGCAAGTGATAGAGCAGCGGAGCACAAAATCGGAACTTTCAGAAGTTGGCTTTGCTGAGGGCCATCACTCCAGTGACTAAGCGGCGGGGTGGAACCCTCGCTGGGACAGTGTGGTCTCAGGACCCTTGGGGTCACAGAAAGACCAGGGGTGCCTGAGTGTGGCAGAGATTCCAGGTATCGGAGCAGAGAAGCCAACTGCACAGACAAAGCCAAGTAGTGGGCTCTCAGCTCGGGGTTGCCATAAACCGTGATCCGCGGCACAGTCGGGCCACTGCTCTTCCAGCCTGGACCCAACGAGGGGCAGATCCAGGGAGACTCCCCTTCCTTCCCCAGGAGGAGTGGCGCGGGAGCACACCGCAGGAATCTGCTGGATTTGGAGACTCCACACGGAGTCGTGTGCCAGAAATAGAAACGCTTGGTCACAGGCCAGGTGAGCACAGAGAATGGCCAGAGATCGGGGAGACGGGAGTGATTGACTGCTTTTCTCTGGGGGCTCACTGAGTGGGGCCCCGAGTTCTCAGCTCCTCTGGGGCAGAGATTGGGGGACCACCATTTTCACTCTCATCCTCCAAAACTGTGGGAAAGCTTGCAGGGAACAAAAGCTCCTGAGAGCAAACCGGAGCAGGTAACTTAGCCCGGCCCCCAGCAAGGGCGGGGCAATTCCGCCTCCAGCAAAGACATTTGAGAATCACTGCAACAGGCCTCTCCCCCAGAAGATCAGCAAGAACAGCCAGCCAAGACCAAGTTTACCGATCAATGAGAAGGGAAGAACTCCAGCACTAGGGGAATATAGGACATAAAATTCATGGCTTTTCCCCCCTGATTCTTTAGTCTTTCAAAGTTAGTTTTTTTAATTTTCTTTTTCTATTTTTTTTAATTTTTCTTCTTCCCTTTTTCAACCAACAACATATCAATCCCTTTTTTAAAAATCTTTTTTATTTTTCATTTTTAGAGTCACATTCTATCCCTTCATTGTAGTTAACCTTATTTTTCTGTATAGATATGTTGTTCTCTCTTTAAAATTTTGGGATACAGTTTCTTCTAACAGATCAAATCATACCCCTAAATCTCTAGTGTCTGGCTTTGTTCTAGTTTCCAGCCTGATCACATTCTCTCTCTTTTTTGTTGTTGTTTTCTTAAAACTTCTCTTCTTTCTTTTTTCAACCAACTTCTTATCAATTCCTTTTATAAAATCTTTTATAATTTTCATCTTTACAGTCCTATTCTATCCCTTCATCGTATTTACCCTTATTTTTGTACATATATAAGTTTTTCTTTCTTTAAAATTTTGGAAAAGAGTTTCTTCTAACAGACCAAAACACAATCAAAATCTGCTGTCACTGATCTATTCACCAGCCTGATCATATTTGATCATATTCTTTTTTTTTTTTCTTCTTTTTTCTTTCTTTCCCTTTCTTTTCCCCCAGTTTTGGGGCTCTTCTGATTTGTTTAGTGTATATTTTTCTGGGGTGGTTGTTACCCTGTTAGCATTTTGTTCTCTCATTCATCTATTCTCCTCTGGACAAAATGACAAGACGGAAAAAACCACCTCAAAAAAAAAGAACAAGAGGCAGTACTGACTGCCAGGGACCTAATCAATACGGACATCAGTAAGATGTCAGAACTAGAGTTCAGAATGACGATTATAAAGATACTAGCTGGGCTTGAAAAAAGCATGGAAGATACAAGAGAAACCCTATCTGGAGAAATAAAAGAACTAAAATTTAACCAAGTTGAAATCAAAAAGGCTATTAATGAGGTGCAATCAAAAATGGAGGCTCTAACGGCTAGGATAAATGAGGCAGAAGAGAGAATTAGTGATGTAGAAGACCAAATGATGGAGAATAAAGAAACTGAGAAAAAGAGAGATAAACAACTACTAGATCATGACGGCAGAATTCAAGAGATAAGTGATACCATAAGATGAAACAATATTAGAATAATTGGGATCCCAGAAGAAGAAGAAAGAGATAGACGGGCAGAAGGTATGTATATTGGAGCAAATTATAGCAGAGAACTTCCCGAATGTGGAGAAGGAAACAAGCATCAAAACCCAGGAGGCACGGAGAATCCCCCTCAAAATCAATAAAAATCGGTCA